CCTGAAGTTACAAAGGCATGTGTTTTGAGCGCCACAGACCGGCTGGACACAACCACCCGCTCCGAGGTCACAACCTAGAATTGCCAAGTGAAAATGAACTAGTGGATGGGTCTCACTGAAGTTCTTCCATTGTTTGACCGCACGCTTCTTTGGAACACAAAGGAAATTGATATGATTTTGCATGTCAGCGCTATCAGAAGGTTTCTCTGTGAAAGGGCCAAAGAGCTGAAGAACACTGGATATAATTGGGTTAGAGAAAAAGAGGAGGGAAAACTCTCGCCCTAGATGGCAACGGTTTTGTGGCTTGGGATGGTCTGGAGACTTCCGGCCCAGCAATGACAAGGACCCCAGAGCTGAATGGACGTGGGAAGTCTCCACGCACGCTGCATGACGGACGGAGGGGAACTGCAAGAAAGAGAATGCACCCCACCTCCTATAGATGTCAGAACATATGTGGGTCAATTCTGATCTTCCTTTTTAGCTCCAGAAAATAATAAGAAGTGTACCGCAAGGAGCACGAAAGACACAACGTGAAAGAACACCTGACCCCACCATTTTTTCCTTTGTTGTTGTGCTATAAAGGTCTTTGTTGCGATGACACGCTGGGAGGGCGGGGTATAAATTTAATAATAAATAAAATAAAAATAAAATAAATAATAAATATAGTTACAAGCAGCTGAAACACAATACACATGGCCTTTTTGCCCATAATATTTGACCAACATTTACGACTCAAGTGAGAGGGTCGCTGGCTGTGGGCAGATGACCGATCCTTGGGAATAACAATTTTCCTTTTACGGCTGCTGCTGAACCAGTCCTCATCCAGAGCTGGGGACAGGATTCCCGTACAGAACTTGTTTAATACATGTGACGAATTTTCACATATTAAAACGAAAGAGTTGCAAAGCCTGATTTTTGTGATTTCAGAGGAAACGCCTTGATTCATGGAGATTTTTAGACCACCCGACCCTACGAGCGATGAGAAGTCTGCAGGATGTTTAAACATATTTAACAGAAACCCAACATGCCACGTCCAAGTCCTCCACCCCAGCGCCTTTCCCACTCGCGCTCATCTACTCTTCTTTACGTCCTCCGAGTCCCCTCTTCCACAGCCACTAATACTGCAATAGATTACAGCAACATAACCTCGCACAAGGAACATGGAAAGGAGACGGAGGAATCTAGTCCAATATTAAACATCTTTTGAAATTTCAAAAGAACAAAAGGGACAGGATTGAGACCGTATGAAAATCACATACAACAAGGGAAGCGTCCAAAGCTCTGGAACACAGCCTTTCTTAGTATCTCTAGGTCCCGGCCAACAAACGCTTCTGCCACAACAAACTCCTAATTCTGCAAAGGCGCTCACTTGTTTTTGCTACCGGAGACCAACACCAGTCTCCCTCAGACACATCTGCTTCTTTTTGCGAGAGAAAGTGAAAGGCAACCTTGCTTTCAAAACATTTTGCGCCGTTGCTCGTAAAAACGCAAACTGTTCTATAGCCTCCTTTGTTCAAACGATTCAGAAGTTACATGACTCACTACCTGATGCAACTCCGAGAGAAAACTTCAATCCGTTTAAAAAAACACACACCAGAATGAATTAAATAATTTTGCAATGTTATCTGGGAGCGGGGGGGGGGGCTCAACAACAGAGAATCCTTTCAGACTTGTGCATACATATTTATAGAATACGCAGTAAAACATTCATCCATAAGTTAAATGCAAACTGTGAGAAATGTAAACTGGAAGAAATGCAAACTGGAAGAAAATTATGTAGGTTGCAAAGTGTCAGCTGCCTTGCTGGCCCTTGAAAAGGCAGAAAGACGGGAAACAGATTTGTACGTAATAATGATAATATGGGAATGGCAGAGTTAAAGCCACTTAATTTAAAGAGCCCGTTTCTAACCTCTTCCTCCGTCACTATCCTCATTTTCACCTGACTCTTTACCTCTTCTTTGCTCTCTAAAACTCAGATCTCAAAGAGCAAGCTCAAACCCTGACCAGGTAAACCTCAGAGGAGTTGTGTTCAATATTCCAGTAGCAATGACCCTTTTTACAAAAATCCTGCAAAATACTCATAAAAAAGCAGACCTACTCATCCCACATGACGCTATAGTTTTCAAACCTCTTTTTAGCCTATCTTTAAAGCTCAGACTGCATTATCTTTGGGTTGCAAAAATGTTAACGCACTTATAAGTCAGACTTATAAATATTTTTTTAAAAAACTAATATTGCCTTGAATTCCCACAATTAAGATTATACCCAGGGAACTCTTCCATATTTAGGTTGAAACAAAACTCAGTTCTAACACGTGAACTAACTGTCACTGAGGAGCTAGAAAAGAGCAAGAGTCCAAAAGCACCTTAAAGATTAGCAAAAATTGTGGCAGGGAACGAGCTTTTGTGAGTCATTGTTGCCACGAATTTTGCTGGTCTTTAAGGTAGGTGCTCCTGGGATCTTGCTGTCTTCTACTGCTATAGGCAGAGTAACGTGGCTACCAGTGTTCCCTCTAAGCTGAATGAGTGTGAGCTAGCTCACAGTTTTTTAGCCTCCGGCTCACAGAGTTCTGTCTCTGCTCAGGAAGGGAGAGCTCCAGAGCAAACGAATTCATGCAGGAGCCAAATCGCTCGCTCACAACTTTAATGCTAGTAGCTTAA